ATATGAAGTCTGAAACAGAGGTGTTTTTGAGCTGAGATGAATGATTGAACGTGGGAGCGAGAGATTTCAGGTTTTTAGTGTGGCTCTGATACCAATTGTAGGTGTCTTAAGTCGGAGAATGCTAAGGAAAGAAGTGAGAAATATAAGTTGAGAAGAAGTTGTATTTCATTGCAATAGCATTACACTTTTTATACAGCATGGCAGCTCACTGTTACACCAACTAATTAGTGACATTTACAAGTTTGAAATTTAAAAACAAAGTTTACAACTAATACACCCTTAATCACAGCTGAGAGCACCTAAACATATCACCAAAACCAATCAACTTCAGCAGCTCTTTCACAGCAGAATACAAGGCAAAACAGAGAGCTCTTTTGGCGCCAAAAAAGGTTTTTCAAAACTAACTGAATTTCAGTTATATTTCCAGCAAAATATCACTGTTTCAACAGTAGGCTAATTTTGAACTTACTAATTACTAGAATTCCAGAACAAACGAAGCTAAGGTAGCTTTCTTCGTGAGTCTAGACGGATTAAAAGGAGTGATTTAGTGACACTCTATTTGAGTCACCACTGTTGTAAATTTCGGATTGGTATCAGTAACAGTGACAAATTTAAATCTAGAATTAGTTACTAAATTACAAGCTTTGAGTGTGATTTTACCAGTAGAATTTGATTTGATCAACATAAGCTTCAAATATCGGAAAGCATCGACCTCATGTTTCATAATTAGGCAGGCATTAACTTGATTTCCAACTTAGAACCTCATGTTTCATAATTAGGCAGGCATTAACTTGATTTCCAACTTAGTCTGATGTCTAATTTTACTCATAATGGTTCAAATATCTGAGTAGCTGGGACTGTAAGGTCTCTCTTTGGGCCTTTTGTTGAGCTTGTGAAGTCTTGGAATCTTCCTGACTGGCTTGTGCACTGGGGTCACCCCGGCAACATGGTATACATTTCTTCTTTCAACTTCCCTCCTGTTTACCTAATATTTATATGTTCATTAATGGAACTTACTGCAAACACCAAGTTTGTTATGCCTATTGACGTGTTTTATAATTCTTAGGCTGTTGTGCTCTTTGCCATGGGTGGTTATGGAACGTATCTGGGTTTCCGCATACGTTTTTCTGATGATCTGGTAAGTAAAAATTCATCGCAAAACATTCTTAACAGCAGCCTTTCCGTTGTCACAATTACCTTAACATAGTTGGATTACTGCAGGAAGAGAAGGCCAATGCCAAGGACTTGCACCCAAAGCTTCTTGGTGGAATGTTTTTCTTCTTTGCTCTAGGCGCCACCGGTGGAGTTACATCACTTCTTACTTCGGACAGACCTATCTTCGAAAGGTACATTATCCCCAGGCAATGAAGCAAATGTTTTCTTTGTATTTGGTCAGAAACTAGCTGATAACTATATATGTTTGTTTGTAGTCCTCATGCTGTCACAGGCTTCATTGGCCTTGCTCTGTTGACCATACAAACATTTTTGCCCTCATTATTTGAGGTAATGGTTGAAGTCTTTGCTCCGAAAACTAACAATAATAGAAGTTATAGTAATTTCTTGGACTTCGCATCCTTCATTTTCTTCCAAAATTTGATGATTCCCATTTTCATTTCTTCAATTTCAATCATGGTGCAGGGGAATCCTGGATTGAGAAATGTTCATGGCATATTAGGTAGCGGGATCATGACTCTGTTTCTCATCCATGCCGCCTTCGGACTTCAACTTGGCCTCAGCTACTAACTTCAACAACCAACCTTGTTATTTATTGTTATTCGTTTTTGCATACAAGGATCATCGGCAGAAGAGACTGTACACAACCAGTGATAATTATGCAGAAAAATTCACAAGGCGATCTGTGTTTGATATTTGTAGCTTGAAGGCCTCATTTCAAAAAACACAAATGCAAGTAGCTATTATTTATAGAAGATACAAACAATGCCATCCAATGAAGTGATGAGAATGTTTTTTTTTTTTTTTCTTTTTTTAGAATCCAGAAAGTATGACTTTGAAATTGGAGTTCCTTTCAAACCTTGTAATCTTTGAAAAGCGTAAAACAATAGTTTTCGATCGTGGAAGTGTTTACGAGCGGGTTGGAACCCAAATGACATCTACTTATTAAATAAAAGGTAACGTCATATTTACAATTTAATCTCTTTCACAATCCCGATGTAACAGATTATAATAGATTAAGTCACAAATGGTTCTGTCTGTTTATTATGAGTCTCGTTTACTCAATTACAAACTGTTATATCAAAGCTCTAAGAGAAATTTGTAAGATTGAATTGTGGATTATATTTATTATTAAACAAATATCTAAATCAATTGTTTAACATTAAAAAAAAATGCCCATCTAGATGTGAATTAAAATAATTCAAAAATCTTCTTGATTGGTTCAGATGACTAAAGATAAAATGATTTGCGTAGAAACCAATTTGAAAAACTTGAAATTGGATTAAATTTTACTCCTTTTGAACCTCAGATTAAAGAATTATTGGATCAATTTAAGTCTTGATAATGCCCATCAACTTGGATTTTATTTTCTTCTCACTTCTGTAAGAATACAAAATCAAATGTGCAGGGCTCAGTGGTGACGTGGCCAGATCTGAGCAGTGGATTGGCCACCAATCTTCCAATTTGGTGTGAAAAGGACCCACTTACCAACCAACAACACTGGTTGGTAGCTGTAAAGCTCAATCACCTGTAATCACTCTCATCTTTACACTTCATCACCACCGTTAACTCTCCCATCTTACAAAAACCCAACAAAATCCAACCGTCCATATCAATCATGAACCTACTCCAAGTCGTAAAGAATAAACCCCCGTTTGCCCATAAAAACTGAAGAGAAGAAGTGGAAAGTTGCGAAAAGAGCGGGGAAAGCAAGGCCAAGGAAGTGAGAGAACGAGAACGAGTCATTCGGAACTGCTCTTTCTATAAACCACTCTCTCTCTCTCACACCAACCCTTTTCTTCGCTTCACAGATCTATCTACTGAACTCACTTTTCAGTTAAAGGTACTTCCTCTGAGATCTTCTACGTATTCTTTGACTTGTGTTTTCATTTGGGTGTTCGAGATAGACTGTTAGATTCTTAATACTAATGTTTTGGCATCTGGGTTTATGAAAGTTTTAGTCTTATGTGTTTATTTTCAAATATTATCACTTGATCTTTGTTGCATTGTGAATCAATGGCGTATTGATTGAGTTTCATATGGTTTCGATTTTGGGTGTAGAGATGCTTGTTGTTTTGACTAAAAGAATATTTTTTGTTTGATAGTATTGATCTGTTATTGAGTACTAATTTTATTGATCTGATCTTGGATGGGGAGTGTTGGCAATTTAAGAACTTTGTGGCTAACGTTTATTCTATGATCTCTCTCTCAGTTCAGATGGAAACGTTTCTCTTCACTTCTGAATCTGTCAATGAAGGTCACCCCGACAAGCTTTGCGATCAGGTGTCGGATGCTATCCTTGATGCTTGTTTAGAGCAGGATCCTGAGAGCAAAGTTGCTTGTGAGACTTGTACCAAGACTAATATGGTTATGGTGTTTGGTGAGATCACAACCAAGGCTAAAATAGACTATGAGAAAATAGTTCGCGATACTTGCAGAGGTATTGGGTTCACATCAGCTGAGGTTGGCCTTGATGCTGAAAAATGCAAGGTCCTTGTCAATATTGAGCAACAGAGTCCTGACATTGCCCAGGGAGTTCATGGCCATCTCAGTAAGAAACCTGAGGAAATTGGAGCTGGTGATCAAGGACACATGTTTGGTTATGCCACTGATGAAACACCTGAGCTCATGCCACTAACTCATGTCCTTGCTACCAAGCTTGGTGCCAAGCTCACTGAGGTCAGAAAGAACAAGACTTGCCCGTGGTTGCGGCCTGATGGTAAGACCCAGGTGACTGTTGAGTATCGCAACGAAGGTGGAGCCATGGTTCCCGTTCGAGTTCATACTGTTCTCATTTCAACACAACATGAAGAGACTGTGACCAATGAGAAGATTGCTCAAGACTTGAAAGAGCATGTGATTAAGCCTGTTATCCCTGCTCAGTATCTTGATGACAATACCATCTTCCACCTCAATCCTTCCGGTCGGTTTGTTATTGGTGGACCACATGGAGATGCTGGACTCACTGGTCGGAAAATCATCATTGATACATATGGTGGGTGGGGTGCTCATGGTGGAGGTGCCTTCTCTGGAAAAGATCCCACCAAGGTGGATAGGAGTGCTGCATACATTGTTAGGCAGGCAGCAAAGAGTGTGGTGGCTTCAGGGCTTGCACGTCGTTGTATTGTGCAGGTATCTTATGCAATTGGTGTGCCAGAACCACTTTCAGTGTTTGTTGACACTTACAAGACAGGAAAAATTCCAGACAGTGACATTCTGGCTTTGATTAAGGAGAATTTTGACTTCCGGCCTGGAATGATTGCTATCAATCTTGATTTGAAGAGAGGAGGCAATTTCAGGTACCAGAAAACTGCTGCCTATGGTCACTTTGGTCGTGACGATGCAGACTTCACCTGGGAGACTGTTAAGCCCCTTCAGCCGAAGGCCTAAGTGTGTGATTTTTTAATGGTATCTTTCGGGAAATGGTTGTTATCGTAGCCAACATTCTGCTTGTGGGGAAGAAATAAAGAAAAGCTTATTTTCACAACCATTATTCTGCATGTGGGGGGAATAAAGAAAGGCTTCAATGCATATGTCTTCAATGCATATGTCTGAACTTTAATCGAAATTTTTGGCTCAGATCCGAGGTGGCACCGGGATATATATGCCTTAAAGTTGAGATATTAGCAAATTTAGGGAACTTGTTATATTTGTCATTTGTCTTCTTAATCCATTTTATTTCTTGTAGCTAGTTACTGTTTCTGGAACCATCCAGTTTGTTTACCGAGAATATTATGTGATTCATTTGATTTGATCAAATTCTGAATTTATAATGCCCCCGTTATGAAGCTGTTCATTAATCAGATGTACTGTTTGATATGAGAAAGTTATCCCTAAAATAACAAGCCAAGTGTATTATAACAAGACTTGAAGCCAAGAGTATATAGTCTGGAAAAGTAAAAATCATTGACATCAAATTGCTTACAAACGTTAAGCTAAACATATGTATTCAGGAGTGCAACCACAATCGATCGTGAAGTCTTTCCTCTCCAGCACCAAACATCTCATCGACTCTTTCGCCATCACGGTAGAAATGAAATGTGGGTGTGTAACGAATATGTTGAGTTGTTTCTGGGCATTCATCAATATCCGCATATACGAAGGAAAGCTTGGGGAAGTTATTACTCAGCTTGCAAAATGCTGGCAGAATCTGGCTGCACACTCTGCACCTGAAAATCATAACACAGTTTCACAATTTAATTTCGCCTTTGCAAGTTTCAACCGAAGCTTGAGACAAACTCAAATGAAATATATGTTTTCCTCATTCTTCTTCTCTTTTTCCTTTTCTAATAATAATCCAAAAATCCCTGCAACCCAACTGTATNTTTTAATAATCAAAATCCTTATTATTAATTTGAGCACTTTTCCTCTACATTCCTTCTCTTTCAAGCTAAGCATGTAGTTTTGCTGACTTATAATTTATTCAAACTTTTGGGAATACTATTGTTATTATTCCCCAAAAAATTAAACAGTAAGGCTTCGTTTGATTCGTTTTTGGAAATATTATTATTAATATTCTCAAAAAAATTAAACAGTAAAATATTATTATTCCTAAAATATTATTTTATATTTTTTAATTTTTTTTAAATCTCCTAAATTTGATAATTTAACTAAACACCTTCAAATATTTTTTTTAGAAATTGCAAAAATACTCCGGCCACCCTCCGGCGGTGGTGGCCGGCTGTCCGTATTTAATGGGTGGATTGGAGGTGTTTTTGTTAACTTTTAATATTTTATTATAGAGATGTTTAGTAAATAAACAAACATAGGGGTTATTTTTGTTAATTTTCAAATCCTACATCGTAATACCCGCCCAATTTAATTTTTTTTAAAAGATTATTCTAAAAACTATCAGAATAATGAACCAAACGGAGCCTAAAATATTATTCTATATTTTTCAATTTCTTTTAAACCTCTTAAATTTGTTAATTTAACTAAACACCCTCAAATATTTTTTTTAGAAATTACAAAAACACTTCGACCATTCTCTGACAGTGGTGGCCAACTGACCATATTTAATAGATGGATTGAAGGTGTTTTTGTTAACTTTTAATATTTTATTATAGGAATGTTTAGTAAATAAACAAACATAAGAAATATTTTTGTTAATTTGCAAATCCTACATCTTAATACCCGTCCAATTTAACTTTTTTCAAAATATTATTCTAAAAACTATCAAAGTTACATTATTTTGTGCCTCACTAAATCTGCTTCCACAGTTTTTCTTAAAGAAACGTAATTTGTGATTCAAATAAAGTTGTCTTTGCCTTGTTATACAAGCAATTAGAGAGGAGATTGAGTAATGTTTCATGAAACAAATTACACCATGATGTTCTGTCTCTCCATTTCAAATTTGAGATGATGAGAACTTGAAGATAACTATGGCACACAATTACAAGGTGATGGAACTTTTGGTTTTCGTGAAAAAAATATTAGAACTGGAACTACAAACAATAACAACTCTGAAACCTCGAGAAAAATTAATTATTGGAAATGGGGTGGGTGGTCTTACCCATCTGGTGACAAGTTTTTCTTGTGTTTTCCATGNAAAAAAAAAAAAAAAAAAAAAAAAAAAAAAAACAGAATGAAAGTTTGTGAAGTACTTAACTTAGAATAAACAAGTATCTTATATTGCTTACAAATTAAATAAGTTACATATATTGCTTTGGATGGCTTGGTCTCTGTGAAACTTCTCCTCACCCATATAAATTTGTTTATTTTTTGTCAACTTTCTATATAAATACAACCGTATTATCTGACAAGCCCTCGTATAATAAGAGCCTTAAAACAGAATTTCTCATAAAAATAAATAAATAAAGTGTAATTTTTCAATAAACTCACTCTCGATGACCATTTTAACTAATATTTACCTGCACCTACAGTTGCTAATAAGCTAGCGTTTCAGTTATAATTTATAGGCCATTTTAATGCACAAAATTTTATCCCAGAGAAACGTTATGACCATGGTTTATGGTAATTTTGTTATGCAAGACATCAAAGCATCCTTCATTAATTTTTGACTCTGTAAAATAACTCCAAGTTAAACCAACATCAATTAACATAAAATAGCCCAAGATAAAGCTAGCTAGATAGCAGGATACCTTCGTTCTGGGGGGATTGACTATTCACACAAGAATAGAAGACCCACTTAGAGAGAGTTTGTCCTTGTTATTACATATTTTCTCTATAATCAATTTGAGTGTAAGACAAATACAAAGCAATAGCATAACGGTTAGAGTTGGTCAAGGACCAGTCCCAAGCAGGCCCGAGCTTGGGCCCGTTTGGGACTGGTCCCAAATGGGACCAGTCGGTCCCAGACCCATGAGCAATTTTAGGACCTGGACCGGTCTTATGGGCCTGGAAAATTTATTTTCCCCCATGATCTTTTTTTATATTAATAGTTAATTAATATAAATGTAATATTCACATTTCACACATTCACGCTTCACAAATAAACAATTAAATAATTTTTTTATTAAATTATTTATCTTCATCGTCAATAATATTTACATCATTCAAATCTATATTCCTAAAGAGTTCGAGTAGTTCAAGATCTTCAGGATGTTGTTGTAGTCTTCTTTCTGCATGAGTCCAATCCCGTAAACACGTTATCACTTCAATCATCTCATCGGTTAAAGAACATCTCATGTCTTCAACAATCCGACCACTCGTTGAAAATGTTGACTTAGATGCAATTGTAGAAACTAGCACAGATAAAATGTCACGTGCCATTTAGGCTACAATGGAGAATCGACTTTCATGTTGGTTCGACCATTGAAGAGTATCCATGTCACGTTTCTCTTTCATCGTCATAAAGGACAGGTCCACTTGTAGGTAGCAATTCAGCTCATTTGGTTCATGTATGTACAAACTGGAGCTGCTACTTCTGCCATATTCCATATATGTCCACTTGCTCGATCTTTGATGGAGGTCTGCATCAGGGTCCTGATCGTCTCTCATGAACGTTCCACTTCCACTTCCATTGTACATGTTCTCATACAAAGAAAAAAGGCCCAACTGTATATGATGTTAAAACTAAGCCCTAAACCCTTGGACCCTACAATTTGATAGGACTATTTGCCAAGCAGGTGGCTCTAAAAACACGAATCCCACACCTTGTCGAGCAAACCACGATATGTAATTCATTTGTAAAATATTTTTTTAGTCTCATCGGCTGGGACTCTTTAAAAGTTTCAACAGCCTGTACTAAGTTTGCTCTTTATTCGCCGTCGAAATATAAATTTAGGTAATAAAATGATATTTTAAAAGTTTGTGGGTGAGAAAGTGTCATTAAGCTTTTATTTGGGTGGGAAAAAGTTATTAACTCTTATCTACTTGTTTATTTATAATAAGCTTAAAAAATTGTTTTGTATTTGAAAAATTACTCATAAGTTAAATCAATAAATGTGTGTTATGAATGATATTGATTCATATGAAGATATTATAATGAAAAGAATATAGAAAGACAAAATAAAATTATTTTTTATTAAAATTTATTTAATATTTTTTAATAATAATTAATAACGGGAAAATCTCACAAAAATAGATTGAAATAAATTTATGCATAATAAATTTTTCTTTCCTTGATAATAAGCCCTCAATAATTCGTGCAAAATACTAGTTAAATTATTTGAATATGTATATCATATTGCATAAAATCTAATGAAACTTCACTTTAAATTAAAAAAAAAAATATATATATATATATATATTAAGATTTTTAATTTTTAAAAAAATCCATGGTAAATGAAAAGAAAATAGAAATATTACATGGAGAAAACATATAAAAGAATAAATAAAATATAAATAGAGATAATATCAAAATAAAATGAGAGGCATGGTTATATAACCGTTGGCTGGCTGCTGCCAACGGTTATAAAGAAAAGTAAAAAAAATTTTTCTTTTATAAATTTTATAAAATTTTCTTTTTCTTTTAACCCTTATAATTTATGTTTATTTCAAAATTTATAGAGGGTTTTAGTAATTGTACAAAGGACTAAAATGAAAATATTTAAAAAAATTTGGGCCTGGTCCCAGGCCTGGGCCTTGAAAGAGGGCCCAATGGAGGGACCGAGCCTCCTAGGACCGGGTTTTTGGACTCAGTCCCAAATACCCACCTCTAATAACAATAAACATAAGCTTGATTCTAACTCGCCAAACCACTTTAAAAATCGTTTTTTTCCCATCCATTATTTGTTCTCTGGTATGTTCCTAGTTGATTATTCGTAACCTCACACACACCCTATCTAATCCCTCCAAGGTCGATTGGGCATCTCTGACATGCTCCTTTCTTCTTTGAAAGGCCTTTTCATGTGACTGATTAAACAATTGTACATCAACTTGTCAAATTCTAATTTTAATTTCATGTGACTGGTTAAAAAATTGTGCATCAACTTGTTAAATTCTAATTTTAATTTCATTCGACTGTTTAAACAATTGTGCATTAACTTGTTAAATTCTAATTTTAATCTCATATCTACCAGACTACCCTGCAGTACTTTCCCCATCTCAGAAGATGATCGTGACAACATCACCAATCATATTCCTATTAATCTAAAGAAAAGCTTTAGTGGAAATAATTAAATAAATTAAATTTTGAGAAGACTTTAAAGTCAAGTCATGATTTTGCTTTCTTGGAAAATTCTTCACTTCAGTCATCACCACTTGTTCTTTGTTAGTCTATATTTCCGCGTATTACATGCCCTTGGTCATGTATGTACATAAAAGAAGCTAGACTGAAGAATTACTCATCCCAAAATCATATCAAAGATTCTTCATCACCTTTCTTTCAATGGCACATTCCCGTAGTACTCATCCACCAGTAGCTAATCCCTTTTCCATTATAAGCCCTCAGTTTTGCGCTCATACTTATCCTGTTCAACTTGCAATAGTGAGAAAGGTCAAGACCATAACAGATGGAAACTTTGTTGTGCAAGATATCAATGGCAACATCCTTTTTAAATTGAAAGCTGCAGACTCAATCTTTCACGATCGCCACGTTTTAATCGATGCTTATGGAAATCCTATTGTCACTCTAAGAGATAAGGTCTTGTGCTTGATAATTTGATAGCATCTCTTTTCCGGTTAATTTCCATTGTATGTGTATGTATGTATGTATGTATGTATGTATGTATATTCAATCAGTAAGGATTTGAGTTATTCACTATCTTCAACCAGTTAATTTCTCTTCTTTTATACAGATAAGGTCAATTCATAAGAGATGGCAAGTTTTCCGGGGAGAGAGTATAGAATCCAGTGCTCTAATATTTAGTGCTAAACGAGCCTCCTTGTTCCAATCAAAGCACAACGTTAATGTGTTCTTAGCAAAAAATACAGAGGAGAGTCTTTGTAATTTCAGGATCAGAGGAAATTGGCTGGAACGATCTTCTGTTATTTATGCCGGAGAGTCCTCCACAATTGTTGCCAAAGTAAGAACATCAATATTTTGAAAGAACTAGTGATCTAATCTTTACTGCTAAACGATCTTCAATGTTTCAATTAAAGACCAAGTTAGATGTGTTCTTAGCAAGCAATACAAAGGAGGATGTTTGATTCAAGGTCAAAGGAAGTTGGTCAGAACGATCTTGTGTTATTCATGCTGGCGACTCCTCCGCAATTCTTGCCCAGGTAAGAACATAATAAAAAACCATATGGTATAATCAATAATAGATGATAATATACCAGTAATTCGGACTAATTGAATATTAATTATTGGATTGCACCTGCGATCACATAAGGACACTGCTAAAGCATATTGCTGGGAAAAGACCAGTTCACGGACGTTTATCCTAACATCGACTATGCATTCGAATCTCTCTTATTGTGATTCTTGATGCAATTAACTCTGAAGGGAGTGCTGTTGACGTCCTTTCTGAATTCTGATTTTCTTTCCTCTTTTGTTTGTATCTTCTATTGAAAAAGAAAAAAGAGTGGTTGAGTGATTATTTTCAGTGTGATAAAATATTCTGCTTGTTGTCGACTTTAGACTTGCCATAACTTGGCTTTCTGGGCTTGATTTGTCGCTCTGAGTTTTTTTCCAAGTCTATTTATTGATCTCTTTGATGGACTGACTAATAAATGTTAAAACGGTTCAATATTAGCTGTTAAATTAGGAAGAAAGACTGTTGCAAAAGTCTAATCCTTTAAGAATATGGAATATAATTACCCTTTACGAGATAGAATTGTTGACCCAATTATACAATCTATACGCAGCCCAACTCCTCTGTTTTTCTCTCTTTTGCATAATCCCCTTCTGAAACGGCCCCACTCTAATCATAGATTCGTTACAACAAACAAACCAAATTAATACCGTCTGAATTTCTTCTTTCTTAAAGCATTCAAATCTTTTGTCTTCTTCTTCACCGAACACCTAATGACATTAGTATCATCAACCTTACCCTGCAAAACCCTAATTTTCTCATAGTCAAGAAACCCTATTACATCAATATTAACAGCAATTTGTTGATTCAACACTATCCTTCATGGGTAACTGAAGGGAACACACCCGAATTTGGGTATTCTGAAGGTTAATAGAAACTTGATTCTACCAAATCCTTATAAATTTCAACTATAAAAGCGGTTTCCAGTGTAAAACAACTCGAAACCAATTCAAGGTAGCAACCGGAACTATGTATGCTTAAGATAATTAACTATATTTTTCACATAACAAAGTAGTATTTAGTCCCAGAGGAAGCAATATGCAACTGAAATGAAATAATTAAGGCAGCTAAAGATATTTATGAACATGTACGACATTGTCAACTTGCCTCACCACAGGGTTGTGTTATCAAATTCATATGCCTTGTCTATTAAATACATTGATTAATAATCCATTAAAAAAAATTCACATCATACTGCAATTGCATGCCCAAAACTTTTTTTTTTTTATGATTAAGGGTGTTCGATAACTTACGCGTCTCTCAACTAATCTTCAAGACCCTGAAACTACCAGCTACATAAAGCTCTACTAGCTACCCTTATTAGTAATTGAGAGGGACTTTAATTCACGACCTTTTGAACATACACCCAAGGGTCTCTATCGAATCGCTTGACGACCTAGTTCGTGCCTAAACTTTCCTTTCGTAACCTTCTATCAACTTAATAATTATAATTTGTTTTTCATCTCTACTTTAAGTTGTCTCCATCAGGAAGAAGATCGTGACAAGTCTTGATCCCGTCGCCAATTAATTCCTTTAACCAATTCAAATCTAGATAAGGCTTTAGGAAATAGAATGAAAATTTGTGAAGTACTTAACTTGTAATAAACAAGTATCAAAGCTTTCCATTACTAGTCACTTCAAAAATTCTTCATCCGATTTTTGCTTTGTTTGTTAGTTTGCTGTATAAGATATTCCTTGATCACCTCTCTTTCAATGGCACATTTCGCTTATACTTCTCCACCAGTAGCTAATCCCTTTTCAATTATAAGCCCTCAGTTTTGTGCTCATACTTATCCGGTTGAACTTGCAATAGTTAAAAGGTTAAGACCATAACTAATGGAAATTGTTTTGCAAGATATGAATGTCAACATCTATTTCAAATTGAAAGTTAAGAAGTCGAGCTCTGGCCGCGTTTTAATCGACTCTGCTGGAAACCCCATTGTTACTCTAAGAGAAAAGGTCTTGTATCACTATTTTTTGTATCTGCCTATACATATCACTTCATCACTGTTTTCTGCAATGGTTGATTTATTTTGGTTTATACATATAGAACAACTCATGAAGATGGCAAGTTTTCAAGGGAGATAGTACAGAGTCCAAAAATCATATTTTAGTGTTAAATGATCCTCAATGTTGCAATCAATTACAAAGCCTAAGTTAATGTGTTCTTAGCAAAAACACTGAGGACAATGTTTGTGATTTCAAGGTTAGAGGAAATTGGCTGGAACTTCTTCTGTTATTTATGCTGGAGAGTCCTCCATAGTTGTTGCATAGGTAAAGAAATTTAATACCTTGATTCCTAATCTAAGTTTTCAGTTGAACAGCAACCAATTTTACTACTTTTGGAAATGCAGTTGCATATGAAGCAAATCGCTCAAAATCTGTGGAATGGAAAGGAGAGTTTCATGGTAACAGTGAACCCTAACATGGATTATGCATTCATAGTTTCTCTTATGTGATTCTTGATGCAATTTACTCCGGAGTTTCCAATGAAGATGAAGATGATGAATGATGACATGTATTCCTGGATCTAGTACTGGTGTATTTGGCGTTTAATTATTTTATTTCCTAAATTCTTTGTATTTTTTTTTTTTTTTTTCCCTTGTTGAGTGATTAGTTTGGAGTAAACGACTTTTTCCTACCTAAATAATGATTTAATGATACTTTTCCACCATAGATTTTTAAAATACCACTTATTATTTTAAAATTATTAAATTATACTTAGAAAAGATTCACACTTAAACATCATTAGCAACCAACACATCCGTGAATAGTCTAGATGGCTAAGACGAATTGGGAATATTATGGTCATAATACTAGATTTACAAAAAATTACGAAGATTTCTTGTACAAAGTGATGTGGCAGAAGATGAGAAGAGGGAATATAAAAAGTCAAACTCATTATATCCACTCTTCCAATCATTTTCTGCCACATACAAAAAATCTCTATAAATTTCTTTGTACATCTAGCATATTAATTATAATATGTGCACAGTCTCATATTCGTTCTCCATCTAAAAAAAAAAAAAAAAAAGAGTGAAAGTTTGTGAAGTACTTAACTTACAATAAACAAGTATCATATGTTGCTTACAAAATAAGTTACATATATTGCTTTGGATGGCTTGTGTCTCTGTGAACTTCTCCTCACCCATACAAATTGGTTTATTTTTTGTCAACCGTTTATCTGACAAGCACTCGTAAATCAGAGCCTTGAAACAAAATTTCTCTTAAAAATAAATAACTATAGAGTAATTTTTCAATAAACTCAATCTCGATGACCATTTTAACTATATTTACCTCCACCTACAGTTGCTAATAAGCTAGCGTTTCATTTATAATTTATAGGCCCTTTTAATGCACAAAATTTTATCCTAGAGAAATGTTATGACCATGGTTTATGGTAATTTTGTTATGCAAGCATCAAAGCATCCTTCATTAATTTTTTACCGTGTAAAATAACTCCAAATTAACACCACACCATTAACATAAAATTAGGAGTGTGCAAAACTAGATATCCATTGTTTTTGCATTTTTCTGATTCGATCCGAAAATTTGAATGAGAACCTGATCCGAATCCGATCTGGATTTCGCCTGATCCGGTTTTGATCCGATTTGGATATTTAGATCGGATAAACCGAAAATCCAATTTTATCCGAATTTTCATGAAAATATTAATTTGCACCCTAAAATTTTGCATTACTCTTACTCCCTACCACATTAGCATTTCATTCCTTTGAACCCAAAGTTGTCACATATTTCAGAAAAATCCACATACTTTACCACTTTTCATCTAGCACCCTGAAATAACTTCTTAAAACTTGTAGTTATGGACAAAACGGATCAGATCCGGATATCCGATTTCTTTGCAGAGCCAATACTAATCTGATCCAAAAATCTGGATCTTCCAAAAATTAATATCCGAATCCAATCCGAATTTTTGGATATCTGGTTCTTTTGGATCAGATATCAGAATTTTTTGCACAACCCTACATAAATAGCCCAAGATAAAGCTAGCTAGCTAGCAGGATTCAAGTACTGTCTAAACAAGTATACAAACAAATGAAATAATCACACAGGCTAAAAGGCACCGTCTAAAGGGATTTATGATTTATGAACATACAAGACTTTGTCAACTTTTGCTTCTTTACAGTGAAGTTTTAGACGTCTGATACATTGACCATATATGATCTATAAAATTTTAAATAACATGGCTTATATCTAATTTATAATCTGAACAACTAAAGTAACGCATGATATTTTAGACTAGGATCTTTGTTTTCATTTCTCGTGAACCCTACAACTTGCATCTTTAAACCTTGCGTGCAACTTGTTTAATTAAATCCTTTTGGTCATTCAAATCTAGGAAAGGCTTACGGGAAAAATAAAATAAGAAGTCGCCTTGCATGACTTGATCTCATATATATCCGTGGGCGACTAGCCCTTGATCATCAATTTTAAGCTTCACACAGAAGGAGTTTTCACAACATTCTTTCAATGACAAATTTCCCCAGTACTAGTATTAGTCCACTAGTAGGTAATCCTATTTCATTATCGGCCCTCAATATTGCACTCACAATCATCCTATCACTCTGGCCATAACTGACGGTAAATATGTTAATGAGTTTTTATACAAGACAGTAATGGAAACATCCTTTTTAACGTGAAAGGTGGGCGTTTAGTGTTATTCACAATAAGAATCACCACGGCTCTAAGATTGTTGATTAGGAAGGAGCGTTTCATGGTGACGGTGTAACCCAACTGGATTATGCATTCATTATTCCCTCATTGTGATTCTTGATGAAATTAACTCCGAAGATGATGATGAAGACTATTATATACCTCATTCCATGAAAACCTCAGTAAAACGTTGATGTAGCTGAAAACGTCAATCATATTGTTGATGCGTGATTTTTGGCACCAACTAACTGACACGTGCGTAACGTTGATTGGTCAAGAGATACGTGATTATGGGTAAAATATATTATAATGCAATGAGAGCCTTTTAAAGTGGTTCGGATGCTAAGATAGCATCCTACGTCCACTGATTTATATTATATAGTGGTCAGGTCGCAACAGCGGACTGACTTACAAATGATTGGCAAAAAAAGTAAATACCAAGTTTTCAGAGAGAGAGAGAGAGCTTACTCCAAGTGTAAAATAGCCGAATCCCCTTAATGAAGGGGTCTTCCTCTTTTTATAGTGAGGTGAGTGCAAGTAATCATCAGTAAATCCATGGGTTGGTGTGAATGTCGGATTAAATCCGGCTTTATGTCACATTTCCCACCTTCCAAACTGATTTCACGCGATTTGGAGCAGGGAAAGGGACACGTGGGAGCTCTGTAGCTATTGGCAGGCCTGACTGTTCTTAC